CAAGTCAGTAGCACTGTTAGCCCATTTGTCTTAGCAGCACGTCCCCTACCTCTTCAGCCTGAATTAGCACGAGCTCAAAGCTTCCCACACCCACCCTCCAGGAGCAACCAGGAGCCAACCAGGCCAAGCAAGGCACTAGACCTTCACGTACTGCATCCCCTCAGGAAAAGAACAGCTTAAGCTGATGAACTTGACTAAGCTGATGTCTTGACTGAGAGCCCCACTGCAGGGGTCTGTAGCAGACAACTGCATTTGGTTCTGTGCCTCCTAAGCTTGCAAGGACATTCCAGCATAGCTCTGTGTGACTAATGCATTTCTTCCTCCCGGTAAGGAAGTCTCTTTCTTCCTTCTGCTCCTACTCCCAGGCTGACTCAGCCACACTCGCTATTAGTAAAGTCTGTCTTATTTATCTTAGTCCTAAGAACCAGAGTTCATGATCTCCCTATTCCCACTAGCATAGGTCTCTTAACACTGTTTCTTTTGCCAAAAGAAAAAAGAGAGGGAGAGAGAGCGAGGGATTGAAAGAAGAAAGTCCTCAAAAGTCCCCTTTGGAACATTAAACAAAATTTCTGCTCTTTAATCAGGAGCACTAGCATGACTTTCTCATGAGGAGTGTGTGGTGTGAATAAGGAAATAGTTCCTGTTGTAAGTAATGGCACCAAGCTGGGGTTTGCTCACAGCAGCAAGCTCTTGCTAGGAATTACTCTCAGTAAAAGCTCTTATGGTTTGCAGTCACCATCCTCTTGCAGCTAGGGCGGTGAAGATCTGAGCACAGTGATCGAGGTGCCCACCTCTGCAGTGAGGGCAGTATGGCGGCAGTGCCCACCTGGGACCTCCTGCAGTATGCTTCAGGTTCACTGGGCCCTGCTGTTCCCCAGCAGGGAATGTTTCTCATCAGGAATGTTTCTCAACACAGTTGCTCACATTAAAAACTACTGCCAGCTTTTGGAGTAACAACGCAGCTCTGAGGAAGACACATCCATAGCAAGCCAAGGAAAAGACTGGGAGATGCATTAATAATATAAACAGAACAGCTTTGGTTTCTAATAAATGAACAGTGGGGTCAGCGGTGAGAATTTTCCACCTAAATGATTTATTTGCTCAACTTTCATAAGCATGGCTGATTGCGAGGGCTGAAAAAGGGATAGAAATAAGGGAACCTGAGACCCTGGAAAAAGGACTTCTTAGAAACACTTTGCTCTATCTTTGTTGTTCAGAGAAAGCTGGGGAAGAGCTCTACAGCTCTATTTGATGTGCACTGTAGCAAAATCCTCTGGTGTTCCTGTTGCAAGAACAACCCCTATCGTTTGGCAGGGCTTAGGGAATTGTGATGGTTGTAGTACTGGTTTATGTAAAGTTAGCCTTTGTAAGTAACAAAATAACATTACGAGTTTTGGTTTTTATTTTTCCTACATACTCTGGTTCCAGCAGGTGTGGGACTTACAATTTCTCGCACTATTATAAGACTTCTTAAGTAAGATTGAATGGGGTCCTGGGCAACCTGGTCTAGTATTAAATGGGGAGATTGGTGGCCCTGCCTGTGGCAGGGAGACTGGAGATTCATGACCCTTGAGATCCCTTCCAACCCGGGCCATTCTGTGATTCTGTGATTCTTTGAGATGATATTTGGATGGTTGTGTGGTTTATACACTCTGTATTAATCTGCTAAGACATCATCCCATGATTGCCTTTACTGCTGTGATGAGGACAATTGATTTAAATCATTTCAGTTACATCATTCATAAGTGGGAGACAGACCTTAATAGCAGTATCTCAGATAGACAGCACTTCAACAACCACGGAGTTTTGCACTTCACTCTTCATATACCCAGTTTTGTTAGCTAAATATGGCTAAAACTGGGAAGTTGATCACTGGACTTATGCAAAATCTAGAGCTTCTCTGTCCTGCCTAGGAGGAAGAGAGAGAATTGCTGTGCAGGATTATAACTGCATGGCCTTGTCACAGCTGATGTGCTCAGCACTATTGCTTTGAAAGGGGATGAGAACAGCATTCTTAGCATTTTGAAGTGTCAGAGAGATGTGGCTGGCTTTGTGCACAATTAATTTACATTTCTTAGATTAACACTAAAGCTTTATTATCAGCAGCATTAGCTCTAAAGGGCATGGGAGAAATGATACTAGGGGCTGGAGTGATAAAGCAGACTTAGTGGCTACTGGAGAACATTGTCTCTGGAGTTCACATGCCATTTGTAGCTATAAAGCACACCTGAGGGCTTGCCTTGCCTTTTGCATTACCAGAATAACTGCCTGAAGTCTAATAGACACTATTTTCATTTTGGAGCAGCATCTCAGACCTGCCCAGTAGCGGGATAAGGACTACAGTCATTTTTCTATTTGATTGACTTTCCCTATGTGTAGATATGTAGGTGCAATGATTGATTCCGCAGTGTTGTATTACAAAGCAGGTAACTGTTCACAGCTACAGACAACAGGGACCAAATATTATAAACAGACTTTGCTGCATCTTCTGCCAATGCTCTAAGTGGAAATGCTGCAAAAATAAGAGTACTATTATATCAGCTGGTATTAAGAACATCTTTGGTCACATATAGCACACATGACATCTTTTAGGGTTTCTGAGCCCAGTGTTTCTTTGGGGTGACTAAACTCACATCTCCTCCACAGAAAGGAGAAGACACAGTTTGATGTAGCAGCCCCTGGTACTGAGGAGCAGGACCTGCATGGTACTTTTCTCACCTCACCACACTCTGAGCCTTTCATGCTCTACTCTGGCACAGCCCAAGCACTTGAAGCAGCCCAGGTGCCTTCCTTTTCTGTTTAAAACTAACACAAGACGTTGAATTATTTTCTGGTTCTGGCATTTGTTGCACAGCTTTGTGTTCTGTCACCCAGTTATACGCTCTTAAGAAAGGAAAGGTGCCAGAAAACTGCGTGGTTCTAGGAAATGGGGAGGAAAGGAGATACCCCACCCGCACCCAGCTGGACACTAACTAGAGACAAGAGATCAGCCAAGCGCTCTCCTGCAGGCAATATGTTTATACTCAAGCACTACCCAGACTTTTGGAGCAAAACCAGTCTAAGGAGGAGGCATGAGCTCCTCAATGCCCCAAGGTGATGCAGGTCTTTCAGAGCTCCTGGAGCCTGCCAGGTGCAGTGTGTCTCCTCCCATCCAGCAAATGGCAGCCCTTCCTGGGCTGCAGCCAGGACACAGGATGGGGCATAAGGCAGGAGAAAAGCATGCCTCTGGCCTTGAGTGCGTGCTGGCAGTTGTTCTTGGAGTTGGAGCTCCAGACAGCTTCACTTTGTGTACTACCATATAATGCTGCAGTGCAAACAAAAAAAAGCAGCTGCTACTTTCCATTATGGGAGTGCATCTACAGAATTTAATAGGAGCAAACACATGGTGTTTAAAGCTCCTTGGCCAACAGACATCTTCCTAGTGTACAGATAAAGGGCTGGACTCATCTTCTCACTCACACTGTGGCAGCTTTCACCATCTCACAGTGCTGTGCTGGTGTTGTCAGCCTGCTCCAGCCATTTCTGCAGCACACTAAGGGAAGAGGCCACAGCAGTGCTCTTTTCCAGCTGTGTCTTGGTATGAAGGAGCCACAGCTGGGGAAAGCTGTTCCACTGTATCCATTAATCTTTCATACCTTGATGCCCCTGACACTGAATTTCATCCAAATGTGATCCATGTGTACAGGAATGTGAAACACCAAGGTTTCAGTTCCAGCTGAGTAATGCTGCAAATGGGAGAAGACAGCTCAAAAAGTTATTGCAGCTGTTGTGGCTCTCAGAGACTTTCAGAATCTACCTCTCTCTTTCAATACATTTAAATGTGTGTGTGTACTTTTATATAATTATACACGTATCTATGAAGTTAATTTTATTGATAAGTTCAGAATTGGGGCACTCTATTTTTTAGTTCCTGCTTCTGTACTATGCCTACCTCCACATGCCTTCCAATAAAGTGCTTTTGTTTTGTGTTCCAAGTTGGTGGGGATGAAGAGCATCCAATGTAGTTTTTTGTTTTTGTTGCGTGTAGATTTCTAATCATATAAATGCACGTTCTCACATCCTTATGTTAGAGGATTCACAGTGTTTGTACTGACACTCCAACAAATATTCACTGAATTATTCTGGCCAAAGTTTTAAATCCCAGACATAAAGCAAAGTTTTGGTTATGTGGAGAATCTACAGTCTTGTCCACACAGATTTATACATGTCCTGAAATCAACATCCTTAAATTCCATAATTATGGACTACGTAATTATTTCATTCCCATCTTTCTCCTCTAAGCTACTTATCACATTTTTATTATTTTATTGTGTTCCAACACAGCTGATGATTTCTATTCTATACAATGCTGTATTATGCAGGGGCTTTCAGGGAAACCAAATTTCTTTATACAAAAGCAGAATTACCTTTTCCCACTGTGGTTGTATGTTCCAACTAGATTTATTCTGAAAAGGAGGGAAGGACATTTTCTGAGCTATTACTGTACTATGAAGTAGCTTTAAGGAAATTCTGGGCTGCCTCTCGGGTTACCCTTGGTATCTTTAGGACTTTGCTGTATCATTGCCACATCATCAAGCCACATGGCTTTCTACAGCATTTCACCCTATCCACCAAGGCATGAATCCTTGCAAAAGAGATTCTCAGCAGTGTTTGTCAATCTCCTTTCACATACCCAGCAACCAGCTCACCATCAGGGACTGAAGCATGTTGTATCAAACTTCTGCTCTTAGGGTCTTTTGTATTCAGAAGTTTGACTGTGGTGAGCCTGCATCTTACAGCATGCTTGTAAAAAGCCACGGACAAATGCCAGCTAACAAGCAAGCACTGGGCTGATGCAGTGCAATCTGCCATCAGCAACATCACAAGCAAAGTGTTCAAAATGGTACAAAATCTATCACTAGATTCACTGAGTGAATTTTTCTGAACTTGTAAAAAAACGTCTTGTTGTATAAAGGCAGGAAATCACTGGCTGTTTAACAGAGGCTGGATTCACAGTCTAGCTTTCAAATTTTAGCCTTTAATTTGCTACAGAATTCACATCTAGAGGAAAAGTTTTGCTAAGTTCAAATACTTCAGAGCGATGGCTATGTTCCCTCTTTTTTTTTTGTACCAGAAGAATTCAGATGATATGCTGGATGTTTAAAAAATCTAAAGCTTAAAGTGTCAACACAGAAGAACATCAGTAATTTTCTACCTAGTTTATAACTACAAATGTGGAACTGGCCTGCCTCCAGTCTCTTCTGGGTGTGTTCCTGTTTTTTATTCACTGTAAGACACAAATGTTGTGCTCCACTCCGAAGTCTGAATTATGGGGTGTGATTTTCTAGACAAAAACAACGCGCATAATGTTCCTCTCCTCATGTAAGTGCATACACCCTCGTGCTGCTGTTCCTTCTGCACAGTACCGACAAAAAAGGCATAGTATTTTACTGAGCCAGATACTGGTAATTCCTCCAGCATAGACACTCTGATTGTTTTACACTGAAGATAATGAAAGTCAACTGAGCAAAAACATTTTAAGCCTCAGAGCCGTTATGCACAAGGCTGAGCTGCACCCAACATCACGCTGTCACAGAGCAGTCTCTAGTTGCATGGTGTTGGTTCCTACTTATGATGCGCTACGCTATAATTTAACAACAAGCAGATTTAAGATTCAGCTAAGACTATACTACTTATAATCTCAGACACACCATGTTTCAGAAGAATATATTTCCACTATATGTGCTGTGACTGTGCCACCGGTTCCACTTCCTCAGATCAGAAGCAAGTATCACCACTGGAGAAGGAAATGTTACCAAAATCTCAACGAACTCGGATGCCTCCATCACTGTGAGAGAGGAAACCTTTGGCTGAGAAATGCACTAGTTCTGGTGCCCCTTTGCAGAAGATGAGAAAGATAGTAAAAGGCAAGACAAGTGAATGTGCCTATTACCTTCTTCAAAGCGGTTATTCCTAAAGAATTTTCTTCCAAGGGAAAATCTGTAAGTGGGTCTTGTTGGCCTGCTAACAGAACAATAAACTCAGGCAGAACCTTCAGCTCCGCTTTAGCAGCCCACTGCCCCACCTGCTCCTCCAGCTGGCAGTGCCAGATCATCTCAAAATGTATCACCCAGAAGAGGCAGACACGTGTACTTCAAATTTCAATCACACGTAGCACAAAGTCAATGGGTTTAAGAAATGGGTAAATCATATCCAGAACAATACGTTCATTAGCATTCATTTTACTGAGCAAGCAAAGTATTCCTTCTTATAGTAATCTAGATTACATTTTATGTAGCACATCTGCCAAGAGTAATGTTCTACTACCTTTTATTTTAACTTCTTCAGGAAACGTAGCTACTGAATGTTTTATCAGTGACTTTTGCAGCTGGTATACCTTTTGAAGGCAAGTTGTGCAAGGCCTACCTTAAAATAAAAACTGAACAAAACAAGAATCTTGAGTGTATAAAGGATGTAGGTCACTGTCAGGACAGAAAGTTTAATAAACACAAATGACAGTGTTGTACATCAGGTTCTTTTTGCCACTTCTGTAATATAGCAGTAACATGAAATCCCCATGCTATCAAAGTGATATCAAAGAAACGTAAACAGTCATAAATACTGATGCTTGGTAGTTTCTCAATTTCTACTGATCACATTCAAACAATGATCAAGACAGCTGAAGAGACTGATACTAATTTTGCAAGCTGCCGCATGCACACAGCTTGTAGCTTCAGACACAGGAGCTCTAGGTGGATGAATGATCTGTGCTTGTGGAGCATTTTGCATGAGAGGTCCTTTCTCAGGAAAATTTGGACTAATGGCACTGACAAGTGGAAACTGGTTACTTGTGATGATAAATTATCTAGGAAGCAGGCAGATAACACTAACTGTCTCCCAGAGTGGTTCCCCAGAGCAAAATCACTACACTGTGGAATAGCTTCCTCCAAGCATTTAAAACTTGTATAATTGCAGATTATTCTCAAAGGCCCTATAAAAATGTTTTCTAGCTGCACAGTTTAGAAAGTCACAAATAAATGCAACAGTATTCCAAAAATCTACTTTAATCCCCCATTTCTCTGTCATTTTGTTTGGCTAACGCTTTACTAGAGAATGAAATAGCAGGAAGCTGAGTAATTTTGGTTGTCATTAAAGCGTTGTATATAAACACGAAAATTCAGAGTAAGGCATTCTCAACAGAAGCTTGAGGAACATACATTTTCATGCCCGGTAGAACTAATATTTCAGTTTCTTCCCAGAAACAGTGGAATGTTTCTTGCATATAAATCCCCAAATACTTTTTAAATTTTACAGGTAAAAAGCATTATTTCATACAACATTTTTTAAAAGCACTGGTTGGTATTTCCTTCCATTTTGTCTACTATAGGATTATGAATGTGGAAGGAAGCAGTTCAAAGAAAATCATGACATAAAGAAGACACTTCCATAAACTGAATTAAATAGCATTTGTTTCAAACAACATCTAGAAACACTTTATAGATGTATATGAAATATACGCATCATGGTAGGTAGTTATTCATCCCCATATTTTTGCCTGCCAGCATTACTGCAAATAACACGGTTTCCTTGACATGCCTTATGGAACAGTTTATTATTTTCATAAGTAGTCACATGCATTGAAGGTAGAATCACCAGCAGTGCATTTGGCACCCCAAAGCAGAACCAGAGAGGTCAAGCTTACGAATCTGTCCTGCTGAATGACAAGTTAGCTGGTGTATGAAATGACAGATCTCAGCTGTAATAAGGGAGTGCATTGACTTAAGACATTTCTTCTGGAGCTGCTTCTGCTTCCTGAGTGGATTTCTCTTCAGGCTTGCCATCACGGATAGGAGATGCACTACAGCTGGGCTTGTTGCTGTCATGAGTGCTGTGACTGCTGGCGCTGCCAAGACGAGTTGATGCCACAACAGCTTTTACTGCAGCCTGAGAAAGACAGGATCAAACAAACATTCCTTAAAGGATATAATCTACCAGCATTACAGCTATAGAATCACAGCTGTAGTAGCCACAGCATCATGGTGCTGGGAATACCATGCTGCTTGTTCTTCAGCAAAACTTCATCTAGATACCTCCAGGACACATTTAGAAGGCTATCTGAAGTATGTGACTGCAGTTTAAAAGACCTGCTTTTATAATGTTACAAAGTTGGCCAACATGAATATAAATTTTATTTTATCTGCACACACAGCATTATTTTTAAAACCATGTCAGACCTCTTGCATTGAGGTCAGATGGCAAAAACAAAGTTCCTTTCCATTGTAATAACTATTATCATTGATCCATTACTTTATTATGATTGATTACATAAAGAAAACATATATCTACATATGCACACGCATATATTCATACAGACATATATATGAGGGCTGTTCTGAAAGTAATGCCTCCTATATAAGGTTGAAGGTGGCAGCTTTCTGGATTTTATCACTACTGGTGATGAGATGTAGTGTTGCCACTGAGCCAGAGTCAAAGCAGAAGCCTATGGAATGGTGACATACGAATTCCCCATTAATGAAGAAATTCAAGATGTAGCCTTCAGAGGGTAAAGTGATGTGTACTGTCTTTTGGGATAGGAACGGGGTAATCCATCTGACTTTCCTGGAACCTGGACAAACCACCAACTTTGACTGTCACATCACAACACAGACTAAGCCAGGCATGTCTAAGCAGTGGCCTGCAGGCTGCATGCATTCCAACACAGCTTGTAATGTGGACCACCACTGGTGGTGACTCTTCCCTGTCAAGTGGCCAGGTGTGCATCCATTGCTCACAACAACCAAACAATGGTGTGCGATCTGCACTACTGGGGCTGATACGAGGGCACAAGGAGGGTGCAGTGCAGCACTAACTCCAATTATGCACTGCAATACATTGGCTGAACACTGTCCTGTGAATAGAAAAAAAACACGCTGCCATGCTTTCTGTTTTCATACAGGAATTTGAGAACAGGCTTCAAGATTGCAAAAAAAAAAAAAAAAAAAAAAAAAAAAAAATCATTTTTTGTTTGCAACTCCATTTTCAGTTGATGTGAATACATTGCTTGCATGTTTAATAATGCAGTGTATGAAGTTGCAACTGGATACTCAACTCAAAAATGTGATGTCTTTTTACCAGACTTTTATAAGACATTTCTAACAGAGATAACTGTCCCTTGCTTCACAGTCATGCCTTATTCATATAATCACTTTTGGTGATTTGGACATTAGTGAGCAACTGTTGTCAAGGATGAAATATAGGAAAAGTAACATTTCATCAATAATCTCTGACAAGCACCTTGAGAGTTCACTAAAAACTGCAGCCACTGCTATTGAACCAGACTGATGCACTAGTTCACAAAAACACAGTCACATATCCTACTGGTTTTATGTTTTTGTTGATATCTCTAGTATATGTTTTACAAGGGCTAGTATGAAAGTAATGCCTCCTTTTTTTTTTTTTTAATGTTGGACCACATCAGAGGTAGATGGTGGTGGTGTTAGAGGCTAAAGCTTCCCACTCATATTCTGTTCCATTTTGGTGCTGTGTGACAGATGGCAGCGGAGGGACAGCCTGACAAAATGGTGTGGAATTGCAGATGAAGAAAAAGTGTATCATTGAACTTTTGGATTACAAAAAAAAAAAAATTGCACCCACTGACATTCACTGATGCTTGCTGAACACGTACAGAGACCAAACAGTGAATGTGAGCACAGTGGTGTGTTTCAGCAGCGGTGACACCGACAGTGGTACAGGTTTTGAAGAGTATAGCATGAAGACTCTTGGTCACTGCTGGTGAAAATACTAATGGTGGTGAGTATGCTGAAAAATACTGTTTTGTTGCTGAGAATTTGCTCTATCAAACAGAATTACTGTATTCAATGTACCTGTTGTAATTTCCAAGGAAATAAATAGGAGGCATTACTTTTGCAGTGAGCTACATATTTTACACACACAGGCACACACACACATAAAATAGTAAATGTGGTGAACAGGCTCTCATACCACATTAAATGTCAAAACATGAGGACACACATTAAGGCAGTTATCTTAGCCCTTGCTTTTATTGCCTGCAAAAAACCAGACGTACGGAAGTGAGGAGAAGAAGCACTAATCTACAAACAAACCCTAGCTATTGTTGGCCTGGCCAGCAATTTGCAATTTGCATACTCACAGAAGACGTGAGTATGCATGAAGGAATGAGAAGGAATGTGTTTGTGGATGGTTTGAAGATGCAACCATACCAAAAGAAAAAAAAAAAAAAAAAAAAAAAAAAAAAAAAAAAAAAAAAAAAAAAAAAAACAGAAAAAATCAATATGCAATGAAAAAGCAAACTATATAAAAGTTGGCATCAACAAAGAGTCATCTGGTACATGAAGTCAGAATGCACCAATAAATGTGGCAAGAGTTTTGAAGGTGTCAAGAAGTCTAGACTTCTTAAAGGTTAATCACGTGGATCCATATTAGAAAGCATTTCAGAAAACATATTACAGCACAACAGGCCACTCAAAACAAGATCATTTTAATGTCATTTAGTCTCACTAGGCATGTGGATATTTATGAAACAAATTCAACAGAATCTATGAAAAAGCAAATAATCACTGAAAGCTTTAAAATTAAGTAATAACTGAAGTGCTAGATTCTGAATGTGGGATGGGACAATCCCAGCTATATGTACAGGCTGTAGGACAATAGGTGGGATTGCAGCCTATGACAAGGGATCTTTGTGCTTTGGATAACAGCAAGTTGAACATGAGCCAGCAGCGTGCCCTGGCAGCCCAAAGGGCCAACTGTACCCTGGGGTGCACCAGGCCCAGCACTGCCCCTGGGAGACAGAGGGGTTGTCTGCTCTGCTCTGTGCTGTGCAGCCTCACCTCCAGCACTGGGTGCAGGTTGGGTGTCGCAATGTAAGAAGGACATAAAACTCTGGTAATGTTTGGACAGCACTCTCAGACATTGGGTTTTGAATGCTGGGTGGTGCTGCATGGAGCCAGCAGCTGGATTCCATGATCCTTGAGGGTCCCTTCCCACTCGGAATATTCTGTGCTTCTATGATTCTATGAATTATTCTGTAACTATGTTCCTTTATGTAAAGAAAAACTGCTACTGGTCTTGTATATTGGGAAGAGAGGGTAATTTTATATTATTCTTACATTATTAACACAATTAAGCTTTGTATTTATTAACTGGTTCGCTGCTTTGTTCTTACTTTTATGGGTAGGAATTAACTATCTAAATACTTATGGCTCATGTTATATAAATATGATAGTATAAAAGACCAACTCTATAATAACTGCTAACTCTGGATAATTCTTATTAATTATTAGAGATTTGATCGTTTAGTCTTTGACAGAAAAGCAATGAAGAAATACCCTTACGAAAAGCAACATCTGCTAAGCACAGAGGTATAAATTTGTTGACTTTATTGGTCTGAATAAACTAAGCAGCTGGTGATCAAAAGTGCAAAAATATGTAGAGAATCAATTCCAAGCGTACAGAGAGGGAATCTTGTTCTTTGTGACTTTCTGGGCAGAGAATGTAACAGCTCACTCATAAATAATTAATTTTACGACTCTTTTCAGTGCTCTTGAATTATTTCAGTATAACAAGATTGCATGACATCTTTGGTGAATACACAGCAATCCTGCTCTTAGACTATAGAAATCTTTTAGAAGGGAACTGTGTTAATACACATGTCACCAGTTCTGCATGTGCAAAATATCGCTGTGAATTACATCTCCCGTGCCCTAAATGACAAAACTTTTTTCTTTGCTCTTTGTCACAGTACTATAATAAAACTTATAAAAAATGAATAGAAAGAAAATTAAGGGTCATTTCTCTGTGTATTTAATTTTGCATGGGGTTATAAAATTCACAGACAAGATGCTTTTTAGTCTTATTCCACAGGGCTACAAAGGTAGCCTCACTCTAGCTGTTGAGAATGATTCCTGTGCTAAAGCCAACTTGGAAGTCTTCTCTAAGAAGATACAAATGTTGAACAACTGAAGAAGGGACCAGGGGAAAAGGAAGTTTCTTGATGTTATGTCAGTTAGGTGCTCAATCACCTGTAATTTATTATTTACACATAATAAATCTTTTCCTCTCTCCTCTCATGGTAGATAAGCAGATTAGATAGTAAAGGAGCAGTCTGATGACTCAGAATTCTCACTGCAAGTCTTACAAGCATTCTTGCTTTACAGTATGTAATCTGCAGATAAATAATTCCACAATTGCTTTCACAGATATTTGTGAATGTAAAGTTTGGGCCTGTTAATCACAGCTCAACACCTTGTATAATGCTGGCTCTACTATAACGCTATGAGTTAAATTCCTGTTTTGCATTGATAGATGTAGAAAATGTAGGTGGCTTACATATCAAAAGCTTACATGGTAGACTGTGTACTTCCCATATTTATGGATGCATATTTCATGAGAACACTGCTCAGAATTTTTTTTCTTCTTGTCAGCACTCCAAACATGCAGCAAGCAGTACTAAACAAGACAGACCAGTGGATGGCAGAACAGATGGATGGATGGAAAGATGCGTGGAGGGAAGGGAGGTAGGAAAGAAGGAAATGATTTGGGGAAAGATGTTTATATTCTTGGCAGTTTTGTTTCTGTAGAGTTTTCAATCAAATCTCATTTTTAATTTGCCTGGCTGCAGATACTGACTAAATAATTTTTGACTTTTCCACCTACATCAGATATTTTACATAAAAAACTTTAACATGTCTATATGACATTGCTCTGGAAAGTCTACAAGGCCTCTGTAGGCTACTAATTTTATTGCACACTTTCAAAGCCAAAACAGAGACTAAGTCCAGAGACTTGCCTTAAGTTTACGTCGGGCATTGAATTCTTGAAGCTTCTTTTGTGCGTTGTCCATGTGTGCAAAATTTGCTGCTTTTCCTGTGACCCATGGATGCTGCAAAGCCTGTAGAGTGGTGAGGCGTTTCTTGGGATCTAAAACAATTAACTTTTTAACCTGCATCACAAAGACAAAATACAGTAGACTGTTAACCTTATTCCATGTACAGACTTGCACCATGTAATTGCTACCAGATATGTAAAAAATCAAGTGCTTCATTCAGTCACTACATAACCTCTTGTAAACGTGAACTAGAAAGTACTGTGTAAGTATTTTTTTTGTAGCCCTCTCAGAAGCTAATGCTATCTATGCTATTGCTTCTCCTGTCGTTACCAGGAGAGTTGCACATCTACAAATGCAAGAGTAGGAAACTTTTGGGAAGTAAGTAGTGTAGACATATCTCTGGAATGGAGATGGTGCAGACTGCTGGGTGCAAGGTGTGTCCAGACAAGCTGCACTTCGTGGGGTTTTCTGCATGTTCTGGAAAGGTTATTTTATTTTTTTCTAAGGCTGAGAATGGAGTAAAGTAGTGTAAGCACAGTACTTAGCAGCAGTACATTGATGCAGGTTTCCTTCCCACATAAATTCTAAGAAGAGAACTGCAAGTGACAGCACAGTTCATTGCTGCTTCAAGCCCAGGTGTGAAAGGTGGATTTACTTTAGGTTCTCTGAAATTTCCGCACAAAGATCTTTTAAACAGTAGCCTGACAGTGCCTGACACATAGGCAAGGGAGTGGCCTCTGTGGCATATGCGTACTGCGAGACAATAGAAAAGGTAAAGCTAAACAAATCACCCGAACTAAACACACCAGAACTGCCCAAAGCATGAATTTTGAGAGCCGTGGCTTTCATCCTTATCTGAAGCTTGTTACAAAGTGTTCAAAAGTGAAACTCTGAGCTTTACTATAGCAAAATGGTAGAAACCAGTTTGGACCAAAGCTCTTTGCGTAGGAAAACACATTGTTTTGCTGCAGGCTGCTGCTCGTCTGACTTTTGATGACAAAAAGGCAGTAAATGGTGCTTTCTTTAGCTTATGAAATCTTCAAATCTAATAAAAAATACTTTGAATTTCTCCAATGGCTTTCACTTGAGGCATCGGAAATACTTAACAAACACACCAATGCAAGCATTTTTATGATTCTGTTTGTACAAGTAAAATGGAATTGAGAATTTGTATCTTCAGTGTCAGTGAAATAACTGAGTTGAACAAGTAACCAAATAGGTATAATGCAAAAGATTCTGCACTCTCATTTTTGTTTTACTTACTAAATCCTTGGCATTCAGAGACACGTCATCCCACCAGGGGGACACAAAATCATATTCACAGTTCAGGGTTCTCTTATATATGTACTGATCTCCCCTTTCATCATAAAATGGTTCAAAGCCGCAAAGTCTGCAAAGACAAAAAAGAGAGAAGTTTATCAAACATTACTTGGTCTTATGTTGCTAGAAATAGTTCCTGATTGATTTTTTCCATCTTCATGACCTATGCCCCACTGTGGGAAACCAGGCCAGGATACATACAGCAGAGCAAACCAAAGTGATGTTATAAGCATTTACAAGCACTGGCAAAGGCTGATCAAACTGAGTATCTTCCACTGTCAGTTATCTGTGATTGGAGCAATTAATATAGTGACTTAACGTAAAAGTAGCTATAAAATGTCATACCAAAGCTTCTTTAAGCCTTTCAGCCTCTGACTACCTTAAATGAGATGTCTAGTGAAGATTACAAAAACTGTGGCTCAGGATTCAACTTCCATGGATCTTCAGTCTCTTGAGTTTTTCCAGTCACTTTTTGAGATAGCTGAACACAATCCAGAAGTGTGTCCAGGTGGCTAAGAAAACCAGTGCCATCCTGGCTTTTATCAGAAATACAGCAGTAAGAGGGAGGTGATCGTCTCCTACTGGTGAGGGTGCATCTCAAATACTGTGTTCAGTTTTGGGCCCCCTACTACAAAAAAGGCATCAAAGCCCTGAAGCACATCCAAAGAAAGGCAACGGAGCTGTGAAGGGTCTGGGACACAAGTCTATTGGGGAGCAGCTGAGACAACTGGGATTGTTTAGTCTGCTAAACAATAGAGAAGGCTAAGGTGAGACCTTATTGCTCTACAACTGCCTGAAAGGAGGTTGTATTGAGGTGGGGGTTGGACTTTTTTCCCAGGTAACAGTGATAGGACGAGAGGCAATTGCCTCAAGTTGTGCCAGGGAAGTTGTGTCATGGTTTTGTGATTTTTGGTTTTCGGTATTCCACATCATAACATCATGTGGGGCACTTGGAGTTTAACTGTGAATGCTCAAGTTCTGGATACCTGTCCGGAAGAGAAGAAGAACTACACTCCCCAGGGGACTCTGCGGTCACAGAGAAGAGATATAACTCCTGGCAAGGTCACCTTCTTTGTGCGTTCTTCTTTGTCTCCCTGCTGCTCAACTGGACTGTGCATCTCAGCATTGTGGTGAGGCCTTCTTGCACCTATTCCTTCTGCAGATATCTGGCTGAATTCACTTAAATTATTTAGTTACTCCTTAGTCTGAAACCTTTGCTCTTTCCTACCCTTCTTTTGAGTCTCTTTCAGTGTTTTTTAAAGAATACGCAAATGCTGTTCAGAAAGCACACTCTGTTGAGTTTCATATTAGCATAAATATGCTTCCTATTTTGATTTCAATTTCTTTCCTAACAGTTCCTGACCTTGGACCTGCTTGTCTGGATTGTTCGCAAACAGAAAGGTAGAATGTTCAAGAGTAATTATCAGAATCCCTGTATCTTCTCCCTGAGAGAAAAAAAAATAACAGCAGTCCCTCATTTTGCCTGTGAAGTTAGAAGTTTTTATCTATCAAACTTGGATTGTTATCATTGTATATTCTTTCATTCTATCACTCAGATATTCAGTAATGTGAAACCCTCTGGCAGTTTTTCATTATCAGTTCTCATCTTTACTTGTAACTTAAGCACTAAAAGAAGTTCTGCAATGACACTAATGAGTGCATTTTTGAAAATACTGAACAGTACAGATCCTGACAGATCCCCATTGCTGATCTCAGGGAAAGCAAAGTGATAGAAATACTTTCTACTATATTGTGTATATTATAGTCTATTATATAACAACATTTTTGTGCTTTTCAATCATGCCTCCACAAATAATCAGATGCTTCAAAGTGAATTTCCTTTTCAACCAGTAAGTTTTCTGAGCTAAACAAAAATTCTATCCACTACTCCATCCCTGGAAAATGCAACAAGCAACAAGATGATTATAGGAAAATAACAGGAAACTGCAAAACAACAGATTGAAGTCTAGGTAACTTTACATTTTAATTTGTTTTTATTTTTATTTTTAAAGTCAATCAATGTGCTTACTGTCCTGAAGAAGGAGACAGATGTTCAAGGAACAAATGTGTTTTTTTGAGAGGTATTCAGTCTGAACAGCTGCATCACTGCACTGATGCAGAGAAAAAATTCTCCACCATAAGCACATTCTGGGTTTCTCAATTCTATGCTTGACAACGATGGCTTATAGTATAAGGATTCAGTCTACAAATACAGGAGTTCAGTAGCTGGGAGCCAGGCATGGTCATCCTACCCCTTGCCTTCCATTTGCCTTTCTCAGAACCATATCTGAGCTTGTTTCAGGTTGGCTCCTTTCCCCAAGGAGTATCTCCACAATTAAAGTGGTTGGAACACTAATAGTTCAGCCAAAATTAGCTTCTGGTTACCAGGTAACTGATTACATATAGTGAAACTGTACTTAAAGCTTGCTCTGACTGTGTTGGAAGCCTTTAAAGTGAATCTCTATTTACATCTAAAAATATTTTCATCATAATTCACTACTACTGTCTACTGTAGTCTAATAAAGAACTTCTATACATGCATTTCCACTACTCAAAAAATCTCCATTTCATTAGGCAGATCATTTGCTACATCTCATATTATGTCAGTAAAACTACAGATTTCATTTCAAAGTAGATAAATTAAGTTGGTGAAATCCAGCATGGCTGCTCTTGATTTCATTTATAACAGGATTATGCCGATTCATTTTAAATCATTTATCAACACAATAAAGAAAAGTCAGTGTAACAAGGCTCAAAATCAATTAGCATTTGCCAGACATAGCTTTGTGTTAAGTCTGCTGGTAAAAAAACAAAACAAAATACCTTTAGCCACACAATCCATGCGATCCTGACTATAAACAAAGCCTACATACTTGTTGATTGCTATGTAGCAAATGCACAGTGTTATTCCTAATCTATTGTTGGAATACAAAAGGATTACTCCTCTTTGTTGCTAAAATTATAAATGTGACTTCCTTGGAATTCTGAAATCAGAAGTAACTGTTCTGTCAAGTATGTGTCATACTTGACATACATAAAGTCTGTATTGGTGAGAAGACAGAGGTTTATACATACATCTTCTGTAGCAAGGTAGTTAACTCTTATGTCTGCTCCATTTTAGGGGAACAGACAACCACATATTTTTGAACTGTGTGTGTGCTCATTCCTCCTGCTAAAATGTGAAACTGGGACATGCAACATTGCCCTTTAGGCTGCAGGATTGATGAATTAGGTATTGTGAAGGTGCCTTTCTGGTCTAAACATTCAGAAATGTTGATCTACAAAGCTTTACACTAACTGGAAAAATACAGCTGTGGAATGTTACTAAAGCTAAACAGAAGAGCCAGTCAAGTGCAACACAATACTACCCTTTTTTGTCTGGCCTACTCCTGTAGATCAAGCAGGATTTTGATGGGGAAGTATGAGGAGAACACCAGGAGGAAAAGCAGAGGATTATCTGTTCTGGTCGTGTTGAACAGCAGGAGCTCATATGCTTGTTTACACCAGTGCAGATATTTAATAAGGCTTGGGAGCATGTCCTGAACAGCTGGAAGATGTAGAAAGGCTGTGTGTAGCAAATAGCACTCCACATAGTATAGCAGAAATCTGCTATATGATCTCACTTGAAGCCTGACTACACCTGAAAGGAAGTTCTGCTTAAAGAAGGCTCTCAATTTCAAGCACAAAACCTATTCATCAATCATTCAATAGTCAGGCAAGCCCATGCCTTAATTCATACATCTGTGGAGAGGAAAAACACCTCTCCCATCTCAGAGACAGCCATGCTTACATCTTACATCTCATATCTCTCTGTTAAGTGTGGGCTATTAGAGCTGATGAGAAAGGGTCAATTGGATGAATGACCCACTCCTTCACCAAACTCAACCCTGAGCCTGTTGTAGGATGACCACAGGGCCTGTGCACAGCAGCCCTGCACAGCTCTGGGTAAGACACTTCAACTTTTACACACACAAACGGTATGAGCTGAAATAAAAGTGGGAATTACAACTATGTTAGCACTATTAGGACACTGGGTATAAAGAAGAGGCAAAATTTGAGATGTAAAACAGATCTTGAGACAAAGATTCAAATTTAGAAAGAGCAGATAACAAAAGTGTAACAAAAAATGACAAGGATGGAAAGCATGGACTCCAAAACTCATCATTAAGACACGCATGCATTTCCTGACATATTAGAGAAATACTATAGCTTATTTTTTATATGACAAATGAGAGCCATTAATTCTTAGAAGCTTATGGACAGAAGATGTTTTCTATTATTTTCATCAGAGTGTTTATATACCCTTAAATGTAATTTTTGTATAAATCCTAGAAAATACAATTATTTCCAGAAGGCAGAAAGAAAATAATTGCATTATTATCCATTGTACTTGTGGGACACAGTTAGTGAGTCCTAGAAGGGGAAAGAAAATGGGCCTAAATATAGCAAACCTTCTGTATTTTTAATGTGTATGTGCAAAATCCCATTTTCCTCCTATAAAAGGCATCCTGCTAGCATCATATACAACTACACACGCCAGCTTAGCATCTGTGTTGCCAAGGGAATAAATGAAGTTATTCATTCTCCCATGAAGAGAAGTGCCAATACAAAAGACATAATTTTCCCTTATCAAAGATCTTCATTTGAAAGACTCCACTGATAGAATAACATAATTGCAATACTTAGCAACTGAATTGGGACTAGCCATATTAAAATGCAGCCATAAGTGCTTACCTCTAGATGCTTCTTTAGCATCTGACTTCTTTAAACAACTTTATAAATATTGTAACTCAAGTTTAGCATCTCTTCGTTTTCCAGCAGCACAGCTCGCACATAATGCTCATACATAATGCTGATACATAAAGTCATAGGTGATTTTTTTAAAACAAAGGAGGCAACTGCATACCACCTTATGACAACATCTGCACTTACAGAATGTAGGTGATGATCCCTAGGGACCACATGTCCACTTCAGGGCCATAGGCACATCCTCGTAGTATCTCTGGTGCTGCAGATGACAAAAGTCTTGTCAATAAGATGAAATTTGAACCCAGAAATTACTGTCACAAAAGTCACCAGTATAAACTCAGTGCATATCTGCAAGCATCTTTGAAACAATGTCTACTCCTTAAAGTTCCTAGTTAGGCAGATGATTCCCTCCACTGAGCATAAAGAAATAAAAGACATGTCCAAGCACTGATAGAATAAAGTGCAAAATGAATGGTGAACTTCAGAGTCAAATAGCTTTTTGGATTTAGGCTTGCAAAAGTAAAAGGAGTAGCGACAAAGTACTGGAGCTGCAAAGTGACAAAAGTAGGTAGCATTCTTACTTCAGTTTTTATTTATTTACTTGGTACTTTGAATTTTATTTCTGAAATTTCAATTGTATGAATATATCTGAAGTTTATGAGAAACACTGCAAGTGTGCTTTATTCCACTCTACCATTCTCACCACATCCCAATATTACTTAATTCCTCTTACAGCATACCCCTTTCTTCCCTAGTCTTTCATTTTGATTTTTCTCATCTGTGGTTCTGTACTTTAGTTCAGCTTGTCTACTCGACTGCATTACAAGGAAATTGAGCACCACATCCCTCTGTCTTCAGATGAGGGACTACAAGTATGGCCACCCCAGACACGGGTCTTTCCTTAATTTCCTATAAAGGAAATTAAGCCCTAAAGAAAGACAAGAGCAATTCAGGCAATTGCTCTTGCTGCATGTGTGCAGCAACATCCCTGCAAAGCAACACTCCCCACAGCATGACCTTAGTCTTCTGCCTCCCTGATGGCCTCTGGGCAGCTTGCTCAGACTTCTTCAACCATGAAAGATCTACCATGCCAAAACATACCAAGCATTTTTACAGATAATTAGTACAGAAGGAAAAGTGCATTAATCACCAGGTTTATATAGCCATACTTGGGAACTGGGCAAATGCTTCCTCCGGTATGCACAGACTTTCCCTGCCTTTTCATTCTTCTATCAAAGAATCTAGTGAACAGAGGGGGGATGTTTTTGCAGAGGAATGCCAGATCCCAACTGATCTGAACCCAGATGTAGCTAACAGAACAGCCTGGAGGCAAAGCAGCCAATGGCCTTGAAGAAGGAGATGCAGGGGAGCCAGAAGAAGAGATGTTACCTAATGCCCCTCTGTCATATTTGCTAACGTCATGCGGGGGGCTATGAGCTGTAATTCTGTATTCTGTGATTCTGAGCGAGACAGGACAATTTTTATGTTTATTGGCTGATACTGTTCTTCTAGAGGAAACTATGTTTCTTCTTGTCCAGGAGAAGGAAGAAGACTTTGTTTTCTGCTCCTTCCACCAATACTCTGTAAAATGACCACAAAACAGATCAAAAACCTATATGCTGAGGTCTGTCTTGCTATTTGGACCATGATTACACAATTACATGATTCCTCTGTAAAGTTTGCTTGTGGAGAATGGACTGCACTGATTTATTGCCGTTATTTTAGGTGTTGGCAGTAACAGACGTCCATGAATCACTGGTCTAAGTTGTGTTGTTTTCTGTGCTACTGTAAGCAATCCCTTTCTTCTTAAGTTCACTCAAAGGACAAAGACTCAGCAAGTTAAGTTCTTTGTGTTCATCTTCTTGTTTCCAGTTTTCTGCATTACTTTGCTTGTTGCAGGCACTGTGGGATGGTGAAGTCTTGATTCCAAAATATCCAGGCTCCAAGTGTATGTTTTCCTTGCTGTGCCCTTTCTGGAAAAACAGCTGATGGGAGAGTGGGCAGGATGTGGGAGCTGGCAGCCTGAGACTATCAATTATTCATAGTTTAACTTGGCATTTCAACAGTACTCCTTCTGGGTTTCTTCCACTTCTGGAAAGTAACACTTGATTATCTTCCAAGCACCAGGAATTCTGCATGGTCAGTTAAGTCAGATTATAAGGCAAGGATTGCAGGTCCATGTCTGAAGGAACAAAGCTCCTTTCACACCTTCTCAGCACAGACATTCCATCTCACCTCTCTCACCAAACCATCTCTACTCTGAGGGCTCTTTAGTGAGTAAAAGCCTCACCATATTTTTAACAATACATAAAGATAGTCATTAAAAGGCCTAAATAATAACTAGAGTTTTATGGCATTTGTAGTCTAACAGCAATGAGAGAAAACAAGAAGACTCAGAGTACAGTCTTATGACACTAAGTAGATGCTCTAAAGCATACTTGGCATACTTGGCACCTATGTATGCTTGGCAGACTAAGACATACAAGCCAATAGACATATTACCTGAATCTTATTATCAGCTGGGCTACAAGCTCATTAAGCTCATGGTCTTCTCCACTGTCTTCTATCCTTTGCTTCTACGCTTGAGAAGGCAAATATCAAGTCTTTAGTTTCCACCCAGCCTGGCTTAGCTCTGTCCTAAACTACCTGATATGCTTACCTGCCAGTACACTCCTAGGAAGCTGCATTCAGGACCAAGAGTTCACTAAGAATGACAGAAATTAGTTTCTCCACAGGATGACATGGGTGCTAGAGATGAGCATCCACCACAGCAAGCATAGCAAGTTTGCTTTAGGCTAAACAAGACCACCACTATCCTTGGCTATCAGCTTGTTTCCTGACACAGAAGCACCTAGCAGTGAAAACTAAGTACACTGCAAAGGTAACTGCAATCCTCTTTTTCATGAGAGTCTCTTTTTGCATGTTTTGTTAATGGAGGATCCACTTCTGGTGCATTTTCTGGCTCTAGAAGTCCAAGAGAGCTTCTCCTCCAGACATCCACAAAGTGGTTGTTACTTGCTCTGTCAGCCAGTGTGTGCATGCGACAGCTGTATGGCAGCTTGCATGGTATGGCCCAGAGAAAGCTGCTGGACAGACTGTGAGACTCCTGCACTGACACTGCACTCATTATTATATTGTATTGTATTATTGCATACCATACTATACCATACCATAACTTTATGTTACATTACGATACGCTATGTTACATTATGTTACACTACATTACATTACATTAACAATTATATCAATTATATAGGTCCTGCTCTGGCACAATCTAAGTAAAACTGCATTTAAAACCATATATTATTAAATGGTTAAATGGTTTGGGATTAGGGAGTTAAATTATGAACTTACTGTAAGGGATAATTCGATTTCCTCTGCATTAAAAAAGTATTATTTAAGATAAATTCACCATAATTAATATTCAAATATTTGTAACCTCCTCTATATTTTTAGTGTTTTCCATTATGCCTTGCATTGTTCAAATTTCTGGAGATGTTTCTCAAGTATTGTAGCAGTAGTGTCAGTATTTTTATGATGGTTGGACTTATTTCCGTTCAAGTAATGAACTTGTACTGTAACATATGTTTTGATTAAGCTTCAGTACTGGTGAATGTATATTTAGAAAAGTTGAACATGGTCCCAATTCTGAATTTCAGTTTTCTATTTATTTCTGCTTTTTAGATTCTTTTTGAATTTTGAGTTTAGGAAGAAAAATTTCTCCTCGGAAAGAAAAAATGTAACATTCTCACATTAAGACCAGTAAGCTGGAAATAATAACATACCGCAGTACCCTGGAGTTCCACAAACTGTCTTCATGGTCACCTGATCTTCCACAATCTTGGAAAGCCCAAAATCAGCTGTTAAGATTTTTTAGAAATATTAGTGTTTTTACTTCTTTGAAAAATAATGATTGTTACATTGTGCATGTAGTTAAATGAGCAACTATACATTATATGTACAGTACTGCCATTTCAAGAAATGATGGTCAGTTTAAGGAACCTACCCAGACTGCAGTAAAGAAGCAAAAAACTGTCTGTACAAATGAGTATTCTTGGCTGACACAAATGTAACTTGTTTATCCTGAGGATTGCACACAGACAATACAGTGAGATGCCTGAGGGTGTAAAATCAGCGATACAGAAACTTGTGTTAGGCACATACTCAGCTTTCACTTGGTGAGTAATTCAATAAGTAAAATAATTCAATAAAGTAACAATTTTTAAGAATTTCTGTCTTAAAAATCATACAGTGGCGATTTATTGGACAATTTTGGTAATGACAATCTGGCCTTAAAAATGCAAAACAAATGTATTTGTGTTTTGTTACAGTGAATATAAAAATGTATATTTTGATCAGGGTACAAGTAATTCATATTTTATTCTATATATTTATTGTTAGTGTTCACTCATCCCTAAAATGTTCAACACTTACGTATTATAATTGATCTAAGCAGTACTATATTTTACAAATACTGTCATCCATTGTAAAACAGATCTATCTTTATAGCTTAATAAGCTTAATCAAAAGATAAAGAACTACTCAATTTAAGAACAAAGTACAACATACTGTCATTCCATCCCTCACTGCTGTAGGAGGTGCAAGATATACAGCACCTATACAATAAAGTGTGTGTAGTGCTGGGTTTGTCACACAGAGGGTGTAATTTTGAAAATATGCCCATCTTATTCCAAAGTAGCCTACTTTCTATTTGTCTTAAATTTTATAAGTTTTTAATGTCAGTAAGGTATAGGTAGCAGCTATGTCTTCATGTTTCACATAGAAAATCCTGCTTAGGAAAGATAATTGTAGCATTACACCTAAGCCTAGCTGCTGGATGATGATTCCTGCCATCTCTTGAAACTGACTAAGCTGAGCTAGTTAAATGAAGCTATCTTTTCAGCAGAGCAGCTGTACTTTCTTCTCACCTCAGTACTATCTAATTTGTGATTCACTGATATGGTAGCACCTTTGGAACAGGCTGGCATCTGAGACAGAAAAGGGAAGGAGGGCTGAGGATGGGGGTGAGGTTGCTGCTCTTCTGAGGATGAATGCTCAGAAGCCCATACTACTAGCCATCAAACCATAGCTGCTGGGTACTGCATTAAACTACTGCATGTAACAATGGTTCAGAGCCATGAGAAAATGTAAATCAGATACTATTATCCTGAGATGCAATGCTTTCCTAGAAATGTCTAAGAAATGACTTAAAAATAGTTAGTAAAAAACTGGCTTCTGACACCTGTGATGAACACAAACACAATGAATATGAAACGCTTTCACTCCTCACGTGCTCACCTGCTCCCTGGCAAAGGAGCACAAAGTGGTACTTCCAAACAAACTGGGAGCAATGAGTATCTGGAATATCATTTGCTGGAAAACAGCACGACAGAGTTCTTTAAGAAGATGAGAGCAAAAGCGTCCGGGTTTTTGTTCTTTTAGTATGTACAGATCAGTCCTTTCCCAGCTTGATATATCTGGAATGCCACAACCCAGGGAGCCCTGCACTGCTCTGTTTGTGTGAACTAGGTCAGCAGCTGTCCATGGCTGAACACAACATGATGCCTGCTGGATTCCTCAGAACTCAGAACTTTGCTACAGGAAGAGTGGGACACGCTCAGCTTTTGGAAGTCAGGCCCTAGGCAAGCGGCTGCTGCTCCTGAGGGCACTGATGTATAACACCCTCAGTCAGGAGAGCCTGACCTCTTCTCCTCCTCACCCCTCCCTGTCGCTGCTTCAGGGAGCCTTTCCTGTGCCCTGTAATGATGAGCATTTCTTCTCATCCCAGGTCTGCCCTGAGGACATACTTGGTTTGTTTACATTCTTCTCTTTGTCTGCAAACTTGCACATATTGTGTCTATGAATCTTCTCCCTTATAATACTACTTTAGCAAGAAAAGGACACAGAAGTGGTGCACACAGCTCACACCATGATCCTTCTTGTTCCACCTGTGCTCTTACTGTCTGTAGCTTTCTGCAGGATTTAGGCTGCAAATTAACCACAACAATAATTCACTTCTGTTTGTTTTTAAAACACTATGCACCATCACGTTTCTGAAGTAGTAATGTACTGTTCATTTAAGTATAAGCATTAGCTTAGAACAGAGTGGTGGTAAGAATTACATACTTGTAGCACATACTAGTGATAGTAAGGAATTAGGGAAACATCTATTTAGTGCTGTTTACCTATTTTCAGTGGCGCATCTGGTGCTGGTGTTGCATAGAGCAGATTTTCTGGCTTCAAATCACGATGCACAATCCCATTTGCATGCAGGTACTATAAAGAGAGAAAGTAAAAGCATTTACCTGAGTGTAAGATAGTACGGTCAAGCATGAGTTAACACCTTCCTAGTAATCTATAGCAGCAGTCCATTGACTGCTACTTCTGTGATACGAAGTCACTTAATCAACTTCCAGCAGCTTTTTACTGCAGACCTTCTCAGTATGGGATCCTTAGAAGCGTACTGAGGTCAGAATAGGAAACTGCAAATTGGGAAGGCAAAGAAGACATCACGTTCATTTGAGAAGAAAAGCTTCTCAGAAAACATAACTGACTTGTTAATACAGAGATAACTACTAGGAAGTAATCTAACAAACACTGAGATACAGAAGTCTGGCTGCCATGGTTTGACGATTTTTGGTATTCCACATCATAACATCATGTAGTGCACTGGCAGTTAAAATGTTAATGCTCCACTTTTTGGTACCTGTCCCAGAAGAGAACAACTACTACATTCCCCACAAGACTGTTTGCTGTGTTGTTATCATTTCTACTCAGGGTGAACTGATATAAGGCCTTGGCAGGTCAGGCTTCCTTCCTCGTCAGGCTCTCCTCCCTGCTGCTCAACCAGACTGCGCATCTCACCTCAGTGTTACGGTGAGGCCTTTCCACCTTTCAGACACTCTTTCTCATTACATTTGATTTATTAGCTTCAATTCTAATTATATTGTGTTATAGTGTGTTATCTTGCATTCCAATACCATATTTAGTAAATTAGTTTGTTTCTCCTCAGATTGCTGCCACTGTATTTAGTTATTTTGGGATCCCCTGTTTCCCATTTCTGGAGGAGTGGATTCGTGAAATCCCTCCGTCCTGCTCATCATGGAACTGGAACTGAACCAGCCCATAGACTGCTGACACTGGCTCATTGGAGGGCAGATTCTGTATATTATAATATTATGAGAGATTAAAAAAAAAACGTCATTCAATTAAACTGTTAGACTGTCAAATAGACAACACAGATAAGAAAAGATGTAGCATGTGTCTTGTTTAAACTATTAAAAACTTACAGTCTCTTTTGCAATCCTTCGAGGTTTTAATTCAACACAGCTGTAGACTCTCAGGTTTCCAGCTGTCTTGCTGAAACACACGCAGTACATGCAAATTCACTTATCACTGGATTCATGTAAAAGCATTCCTGCCTTGCAGTAATGGAAGGAAACACTTCTGGGACACCTTCTACATTGCAAGAGATAGACACTGACAGAAGGGGCAACAATGGTAAACTAGAGAAATAAATTCTGCATTTCATGATAAAATCTTCAGCAGAAATCTCTAAAGAGATGGAAGAATGATGCTTAAAGGTAGAATCTGAGTATCTTATTTGATGGTCTCCTGGTCTATCTTTAGTGGAATCTTCTCTCAAGTTTTCACTGGTGGAAAAAATTAGAGTGCTCATTACTATGCAGAAAACAAGTTTTTGAATATTTGTCTGGAAAGTACATTCACAGCGTTGAGTTAGACTCTGAGATGAATTCTTGACTGTGTATCTCTTAGTTTGCAAACTGCAGTTTGCCAGTTGCCAGTGATTACATAACATAAAGAACAGATAGCTCTTTCCTTGAGCATCATTTTAGTGACAGTGAGTGCTATTAAGTATATTTCCTATAGTCTAATTGCTTGTCACAGCTGTGTTTTCTATAGATAGGTGGCTAACTACTTATCCTAGGTAAAAACAGACAACAATTTAAGGAGGATTCATGGATTACATTCTGCTACATCATTTATTGTGGTCACATCTGCATGGCTGAAAAAAAATTGTGTCTAGCCTGGATAAAAGTATATCTTTATCTGCCAGTGAAGACAATCAGCAAGGATGCTCCCAGAGTTTATGCCACTGATGTGCCTGACAAACAGAGGTAAGCAAAGAGGAAGCACCCAAAAAATGCATCAAGAGCAATCACATCAAAGTGGACAGGAAGAGGATTCTAAACTGATCAACATTCACATCCTGCAAATTGGTTCAGCTGACTCTGTAGAAATGAGAAGAGCAGATATTTCACACTCAGTGGAAAGCAGCAACTTCCAATTAATTCATATGACATAGTTTAGACCAAATTTGTGCAGACAAATGTTCCAGTCAAGTTTGCAGAAAGTCTTCTAGCAGGTCATTTTTTATACACACATAATCTTAAAAACACTATGTGGTGTGAGGCTGAAAACATCAAAAATCTCTTCTTAGCCCATTTTTATTCAAGGGAAATTTGGGAAGCACTTCGGAAAAACTCTTCAACTTTTCCTCTGTTAAATCCTGACAGTCTGACTCCCAGGGCTTCATTTCATGATTTGTAATGAATTTGCAGTGTGAGCTCCCTTTTTATTATATACCCATACGAACACTTGTAAGAAAATCTCCTCCTCTATTCAGCCCACCATTTGCAAAAAGTAGAAGACGCAGGTGGCCAACAGATGTGAATTCCCCAAATAACCTAGTCCACACCTTTCAAAAACTGCTAATACAGCACCCCTCCTCTATGTTCTCTCCTCACAACATTCCAGCTCTTCCTATCCGCTCTGCCACATCTCACCTTATTTCCCCAGCATCCAAGCCAAGATTTCCTGCCCATCCCTAATAACATCCTTACCTGACCTCTCCATGTGGCTACATAGGTTCTTTCATGATTGCTGAAATCTCTATCCCAGTTGTCTCTGTTTTGTCTTCTTTCTCCCACAGCCTCTTTGCTTACTTTTATACCGGGGGACAAGATCTGGTACTTGGACCAGCAAAGACCCACAGGTATACTGGCATGTCAGCCTGCTGCTGTCTCTTCCCTACTGGCAGAAGTAATGCGTGTTGAATGGGCTGCCAAGTCAGACATTTAACAGATGTCCTGTGTATCTGTGCAACTAGTATATCTGAAGGCCAGCCTGCTGTCATCTTATGCTGAGGTTGACAAATAGGGTTACTAGTTGTATTACAAATTGACAAACAAAAAGGACAAATCAAAAAACTCCTACAGTATTTGCACTAATGCAGACAGCCCATTCTTCAACAACCCAGAAGAAACAACTAGCTTCATGGAACTGCAGACTTTCAACAGGAAAGATCTCTGACTGGAGTCCTCTATGATGTACCTGCGTCCAAATGGCCTTGTTACTGAATGTCTCCAATACATGCAGAAACCCTACTTCCTTCTTTTCAGCCTAATCTGTCCCTGTGCAAAGAAAAAACAACAGAGCTGGGGAAGAGACTAGAATATAAGAATTAAAAGGAGTGGTTGGAGGAACTGGGGTACTTTAGCCTGAAGAAAAGGAGCCAAAGAAGAGAACTGATGATTCTCTTTGACAAACTGAAAGGAGGTTGCAGAGAGGAGGGAGTTCAGCTCTTTTTTCAGGTCACAAGTGACAGGAGGCAAATAAATGATCTCATGTTGCAACAGTAAAGGTTTAGATTGGATAACAGGAAGAGTTTCTTCACAGAGAAGAGTGATCAAGCACTGTGATGGGCTACCCAGGGCAGCAGAGAGTCCATATGCCTAAGGTATTCAGGACAGGGCATTAAGAAACATGGTTTAGCAATGGGACTTGGTAGGCCAGCTGGCTGGTTGGACCTTAGGCCTTGTTAGTTTGCACCAGTCCCAAAAACCCAAGTCCAAAGCGTCCAGCAGCCATCTACTCATTATGTTGACATTAGCATCAAAGACTACTTGATAATTGTATTTTATAAAGTGAACAGTCTTCTGAATTTTACTGTGCTTTACAAATTTTTACTGAGTTTTTTTAGGGTCCATCTAGAAACAGATTAGTTAAATTACCATAACACACACTGTTACAATTAATAGATATTTCAGTTTATATATGCTTTATTTCTCATATATTGATATTAATGAATGGAATTTTCCTTTTTAGTGCCTCTGTGGCGTAAGTTCAAAGATAACTCTTGCTGTCTTCCAATCTACAGTACAGCTTTGGGCATTACATACTGTCATACTACCAGAATAGTTAACCTGTGTTCTTCTACTTACATTCTATGTCTGTCTCTTTCTGGTTAAACAATATGATTAAGTGCAATAATCAGGGATTAAGTGTCAAGTTAGAACAGGTACTGATTCACCTCACAATCTAGGCTTTGCTGAAGTACATAATTTTTCCCATCTGTAAGTTACAGATGAGACTTGAAAAACATTTTAATTCTATGAATGATTGAAGAGTTTTTAGATGCACGATACTGTATGAACATTTAATAGAGAATGCATGTAAAATGTGATTATAACATGAAGAGAGAGTCTTCCAGTAACTAAAAAATCTTGCTTTCCATTTCTTTTGATTTTCAAAAGGCAATATTAAACATTGAAAGAAAGTATGGGTATAGCATTTGTCTGATTGCAGCTTTGCTCATTTGTGTTAGTGAAATAAGGTGGATACAGAAAATTTAGTTATACATTATGATGATGTATTTCCATGGCAACGTTACATGGCTGTATTTAGAACTAGTATGCCTTGTAACATCTATGTACTAAAAGGTAAGACTTATTTACAGCAGCATTTCATCTGACTGATGAGATGTAGACAAGAGAGGACAGAGCACGGCCTGTGGAAGAAGTCTTATGGAAGAAGTACTCTCAGTGTCCAGCAGTTTCATCAGATAAGCAGGTCCATGGCACAGGGAAGACCAATTACATCTTCACATGTACCTGTTTTTCTGATTTTTTGAAACAGCAAAGCAGATGCTATAAAATGGGACAGTACTGATTTTAAAGAACACATGTCTATTCCACATAGCAAAGATAAATGAATAAGAAAAAATAAAATGGAAACTATATAGGATGCTCTGAAAGTAATTACTCCTATTTATTTCCATGGAAACTACAACAGATACAAATAGCACAATAACACTATTTGGTAGAGCAAATTCTCAAACAAAACACTCTTTTTCAACATAGTCACAACCATTAGCTGTGCATTTTCACCAGTGGTCAACAAGAACCGCCCTGCCATGCTTGTAATTGTATAGCTTTAGCAAAAACTTGTCTTTCACTTTGCACTTTCATTTTAGA